AATATCCGATGTTTGGAAAATTTTCTGGAGACATCCGCTCGAGCTAAAATTTTACATGTGATCAGGCATTGTCATAACCCTTTTTCTTGGAAAATTTAAAAGATTATTATTATGTACGTTTATTTTAGGTAATGCAACCGTTCGGATACTTATGTCCGCTTGTGTAATACTAATAGTAATACTAATAGTGGTTGTTATTTGTTAATAAACATATTTTTGAATCTCTACTTTAGTACGAAAAAATAGCAGTGAAAGAGAGATGTTGACTTCAGCTTTTTGATTATCTGCTTCTTTACATGTTACTAGCCTTGCTTTAATAAAGTCTATTCTTTTCACCTGTGCAATTTAAATTCTTCACCTAGTATCCATTCACAGCTTATTATTATATACTGAAAAACATGATCACAGGCATTCAGGTTTGCAAATTGTGTCTTTCTTATCTGAACCCGAAATCTACGTGATTCAGCAATAAAGTTCGGACGTGTGCGAGTCCTATGTGTTTCATTTTCACAATTACGTGCTGCGATTTCCCAATGCTGCTGTGAAGGTGAAGAAGGAATTAATGATTTGAGTGCTTTGTTAATTTCTTCAAGTATTGCATCATGGTCTTGATGTTGATTTGAAGGCTTAGATTGTGAAGGCACCATTCTTTCAGGCTTCAACCGTAGTATTTATTCTTCATCAGCAATTTCGATCGATCGGTAAATAGGATGCCACCTAGACCATATCAGTACAAACATTCGCCGAGCTGCAAGTCTTAATGAAGGCCCATTAAAACGGACCCCAGGGCGGAAATTAACCTAAACATGGAATCAGATTTCCCTCATGTGTCCTAGTTCCCCAATTAACTGCGTGAATGACCCTCCCTTGAAAATAGCGTCGTTTTACTGGTCATATTATGAGTGACGTCACAGATTCACTTTGTCATATTAATAATATTATTGTACTTCTTTGATTTGTCAATTACTAAGCCATAATAATAATGCAAATAGTTTCATGTTCGCCACATGCGAGGCGTGATTTCAAAACTTACTCGCACAGGCGAATGAAATTCGTGACCATCCAACATATGTTTCACTTACAATTGATACTAATAAACTTCTCTTTTATTTATTCGCACCGGAAGAAACTTTTGATCCTCAATTACACACATTAACTTATCAGTTTTTCTATAATTTAAACAGCAGTCATTAATGTCAAGGCTACCCCCAGGCCGTCAACAACAATACCCAGACTCGCAAAACTCTTCATCCCCTCGAGGCTACGATAATGCAGAATATGGAAATAACTATGCCCCTCCCCAACCAACACGAAGTCCTGTACCCACAGATGTCGACCAGCTAAACTTTAATAATTTAAGGATTTCTGATGATCCTTACTCTCAACCTTCACGCTCAATAGGAGTTCAACCTGGGGCATTTCGCTCCTCGCCATCTCTCTCTCACAGATCACGCTCGCCACAGCCAGAGCAGTACTATCACCCAGCCCACAGACAAGCAAGCCTTCCTCCCCAACCGAACCAGATGGGACAAGTTGATGCACAGATAACCCAGGATCCTCGCTCTTTTCGAAGAAGAAGCCCTATGCCCGCACAATCTCCTGAACAACTTGATTCTTATGCGGGTCGTGGTAACTATCCAGCTTACGTTGATTATCCTCCACCAGAGTTTCCGCCTCCTGGTCCTTTCTCGCCGCCACAGCAGCCACCACAGCCACCACCACATGGACAGCCAGGAAGTTATGGGTATGAATACCAGCAAGGTTATCACCCATCCGATGGATATTATACAGAGGGAGATCCATATACTCAGGGAGATCCATATACTCAGGGAGATCCATATGCGCAAGCTCCTTCCGACTATGTATATTATGACCAAGGTATAAGACCTTCAGATTATCCAGCTGCATATGCCGGTCAAGCGTACGGTCCAGCACCTTATCGCCAATACTCTATTAATAGTTCTTCAGGAAAGGGAGGCCGGCTTGGTGGGCCGTCATCGCGCCCTGATGAGGTTGTGGAAAGACCAAATTATTCTCCAGAAGCAATTGAACGATATCGCAATAAAGTTAAAGCCGCAGGAGATCCGGCCAGTCTACTTAATTTTGTCAAATATTTAATTGAAGCATCAGCCGAAGCAGGAGAAAATGAAGCCGACCCAAAAGCAGCACAAAAAGCCAAGGATGCATTAATACAAGAAGCATTTAAAATTCTCAAGCGTCTAGCTACACAAGGAATGGGATTTGGCAAACCTGCTTATCCGGAAGCTCAGTTTTATCTAGCTAATTGCTATGGTAATGGATCTTTAGGTCTTCCCAGGGATAACGACAAAGCATTTAATTTGTACATGCAAGCGTCAAAACAGAATCATGCAGCCGCTACTTATCGTACCGCTGTATGTTATGAAATTGGTGCGGGAACGAAGAAAGATGCTCATCGAGCAGTTCAGTTCTATCGTAAGGCCGCTGCACTAGGGGATACTGCTGCTATGTATAAATTGGGTATGATTCTTTTGAGAGGTTTTTTATCTCAACACAAAAATCCCCGAGAAGCTGTTACATGGCTTAAGCGTGCTGCACAGAATGCCGATGCTGATAATCCGCACGCACTTCATGAGATGGGGTTGTTGCATGAAAGGGAAGATATTCAAAGAGAGATTCCGTCTGTTATACATGACAAGGAGTTTGCTTTCGAACAATTTAAGAAAGCGGCAGACTTGGGATATGAACCTTCTTGTTATAAGCTTGGCTTGATCTATGAACAGGGTTTGCTTGGACAACCAGTGAATCCGCAAAGATCAATATATTATTATTCCAAGGCGGCCGAAAAGAATGATCTTGAAGCAGCATTAGCTTTGTCCGGATGGTATCTCACTGGCTCAGAGGGTGTGTTGAAGCAATCAGACAATGAAGCGTATTTATGGGCACGTAAAGCTGCTGATATGGGACTTGCCAAGGCAGAGTTTGCTATAGGGTATTATTCTGAGAATGGTATTGGTACTAAGCAAGACTATGAGGAGGCAAGGCGTTGGTATTTACGAGCAGCAGGTAAATTTTTTCGATACAGGCTTTCAAATGGAAATAACTTGTCATATAGTAGCTGTTTGACATGGCAAAGAAAACTAATGTTTTCTTTCCGACTGTATATTATAAGTCATAGTCACTGTAATTTACATATTTATTATTTTCACTTTACCTGATGAGAATGTTATTTTTAGACTACTCTTGATTATTAATCATAATTTTATATTAGCTGTATCATGTTACATTTGCCATTTGTTTTTGAACGGATTAGTTGATCCATTTGTTGATGTAGTTTTTGGTTTGGAAAGATATTGGGAGCTCATTATTATGCAAACTGAATCTTATTTGTAATGTAATTCTGTAGCTCAAGGATATAGGAAGGCACAGCAACGTCTTACAGAGATGAAGCATCAGGGAACCACAAGGCGGATGAGGCCTGAACGACATACACGCGGCCAGGGCAAACAGGGGGATGACTGTGTGATCTCATAAAGTACTATGTGTTATCTACTTGGAGACGATGATATTCCTCAAAAAATGCATTACCCATCGCTTAATAGCTAACTGAATATAATATATTCTTTAGTGTAATTGGGACAGATCAAGCTTTCATTGGACATTGTTATAATAAGTTATCACTGGACTGACTACCTTTTCTTTCATGTTTATATATTTTGTATTGATCCTGGTCTCAGTTGTATTATAGCTACTTGTCTATGCGCATATATAATTGTGCGTTGGCTAGGTTACTATTATTACAAGTCATCAAAAACACTTGGTCAGATCTCAGTTTTCTCATTTTGTATTTAATACGAATAGATATTCACGTATAGAATGAATGCATTTCAAAATAAAATTAATTAAAATGTTTTTTTCCGCGGGGTTTCGTATTACATGAAACAACATATTAATGTACGATCCCCACTATACACATCTATCTATGGTATTCGACTTTTGAATAAAGTGTATCGTTCGATATTATCTAACGTGACTTCCGGTTTCTCCTTTCCATACACGTTGTCTTCGGGGTTATCGAAGAAATTAGCTCTGAATCTCTGCGTAATGGAAAGTACACAGAACAGTATTATAAGTCCATATCCATTAGAATTAATGTAACAATGCGAATAACAATTTCGTACCTTGACCTCCTTGTCAGCATCAACCTGCTTTAATTGTTCGTTTTCCATGCGTTTCTCCATTGTCGTGTACCGACGCTTCGCATAATCCATTAAGTAGACTCCAACCATAATTTTCAATAGCAAAATACTAAAAACGAGTAATGTTATTTGACGTTATTCTTGCTTATCTCCATTAACATAAAACGTTAAGACTCACATTAGAAATAACGCAATTAGCAGCAAGGGACGGGCAAACCGTGATTGAGCAACTTTGGTGAACATTGAGGTATCACAATTGGCATCATCCATATCTGCACTCAATTCGGATATCATACTGAACGTCTGTATTGTCATCCGAACCAACTATTACCAATGAGAGCAATCATTGAATGTTTATAAATGCTGGCAGTGCGTCTTGTCAATATCAACTGTCAATTAATCAATTATCTCACCAGACATGCAAGCGGCAGGGCTGCAAATCCGATACGCCGCGAAAGTATCGAAGATTGATCTATTGGAGGCTATATCAAATTAGAATCAGTAGAAGTTACGTTGACACTCTTTCAACTCCTTTCCTAAAGTTACTTACTTTCTGTTTCATTATTGCGGCATTCGTATCCGACTGAGTACGGGGACTACCAAGCACTAAATCCCGACATAGCATATCTATGTATTTCGAATATACGCCGGGTCTAATCTGATTAAACTTTGTGATAAAAGCGTGCTTTAGCCAGTCGACAATTAGCTCAGAGACCATGACAATCACCACAGGAGTAAGAAGCGTTTCCAGTCTACTCATAAACGGAAACAATGGTATAAATGATGTTGGAAGTATTGAAAATGCTGTCTGAGGAGTTCCGGTAAGTTCGACTAGATTTCGAACAGTGATTATCGTCAAGAACATTGATAACTGAAATCTCTCTACTATATCTATAAAAAAAGGTAAATAAAACTTCGATAAGTATTACTATTCAATAGTGATATTTTGGTGAAAAATGCGGTCAATCGTCCATTACCGGCACAACTCAACTGAAATAAGTTCTCTTTTTCAAATCTCTTGAAAACGGACCCTTTTATCTCTATGAATTGATTTGACAATAGCAGGGTCAAGAGAGCATTCGAATAGGAATTTATTGCGACATTAAGTGTTATAACCTGATAAAATAAGATTATTGTATGTGCCGCTGTTGAATTGTGAGACATCAAAGTTTCAGCGTAAATAAAAGTCAGACGATAATACCGTTCATTTAACAACACTTACATATATATATAAAAGCAATCCCAAAAAACATTGCTGGTCTAAGACGTTGTTTAGTTGAGGCAGCTCTATGATCAGAACACAGCGTCGATTTGGCAAAAAGAGAGTCCAATATATCTCCTCCAAACGAACAGAACAATCGATCTAGTATCTATTAAATCACAAGAGTTTGCAGGTTACGTAACACCATCAATACTAGAGAGAACGGGGTAAACCTCGTTTATTGATATACAGCTTTACCTCAAGCACATTATATATGACGTAGAGCTTAATAGCAGCCTGACCACGAATAGAATGATACATGCGCGATGCATCGATTCGTTGTAACGCGATACATGCGAGGACTATAAGCAGTCCTTTGAGTAAGTCACGCATTTGCGACAGATTCAACGATCTATAACCAAATATGGCCAAACGTAAACAAGAACGTCTTTAAATCAATATAATAGCTTCTCATATTACCTCGTCCTAATTCCGCATTTAACGTTATCCCAAATGTTCATTATTAAAGCATTAAACGCAATGATAAATCGCAAGGGAAGAATGGTGAGCGTATACAAGAATGAATCCAAACATACAGTCAATCCAAATACCATTAACTAACAGTCAAAGAAGAAAAAAGTCAGGAGATCGAATGGCCGTCGAGAAAGTCTATACGAACAGCAGTCATAACCTCTGCTATCGTCAGCTCATTCCCAAAGTAAGAAATAAGAAAAACAAATACAAACCTCCTCTAATGCCCGTGGAATTTCCAAAAAGTTGGTTACGCGTTCGGCGATCGCGTCATGTCCGTGTTCAGAATCTGATGCAGTTATTTCTTCTTTGAATAAAACCCATAACCTTGATAAGGTTGATTTATTTGATTCTCCTTGTGAAATGTCCTCACGGCTAACTTCGGCTCTTGGATCTACCGAGTCGACTTTATTACTATCGTCATTAGTTAGGTCGTTTCCACCTGGCTTAATACCGTCGACCTGCTTTGGCACGCGATTGTCATGCTCGTCTATTATTGTCTGGTCAGTATGTTCGTTTTCTTCTTTTGAACTGTTGCAGCTTGACAGCTCAGAAGTCTCTAATATTGTCTCGGGCGAGCTAGAGTCAAGTTCTTTGGAAAAGTTGCTCAAACTTTCCAACGATGGAGGCGTCGCTGGTGGAGTATTCATATGTGAATTGTGCGATTGTGACGGTGACGGTTAAAACCAAAGAATTCTGTACTCGGCTCATCTCACGTGGCAACATTTAGTACACAACCTAAATTAGTGCAACATCTACATGATATGCGCGTCGGCATTAAAAAAAGGAACAACGGGTCATGTAGAAAATTGGTATATATCCCAATATTCTCAACTTCTCAAAAGTACAGTAATTCCAACTTTAAATGCTGTACGCATGGCTATTGACTTTTGGTATATGTGATTAGTGAAGTACCAACGATCCAATATCGTTTGGTCATTCATTACTCGATTGATGACAAGATAGCTACATCATTTCCATCGTATGATATATATAGGCTTGATTTCTTAAAGAAGTTTAGAATGAAACTTATTCGAACTTCAGTTATACAGACTTTACCTTGCTGATATTAAAGATGGAATAAAAAAACGCTCAAAATAAATATTCCATAAACTGATTATCAGCCTACAATTCAGTCAGACACCAATAATTAATTATTTATCTCCCTGTCTTTAGGATGATTCTTACACTTTATAGTTTCCTCATTCTAATACATCTAGAGACTTTTTCCCCCCAAATATCGTTTTTAATGCTTTGACTGAGTTTTTATTTCAGCCTTGAAATAAATCAAATCTGCAACGACAGAATCCGTCTTCAAAATAACAACATGCCCTTTGTAAATTCCCCAGTAAGACTTGACATCTGTTGAGCCTGAACTGATAGCTTTGATTCCGCGGTTGGGATTTTCCCACTTTGTTCTCAACGTTCATTACACCTTCTCCATCGTTAGATAAATTGCATCATATGCATGTTAGATTAACATTCTCTCGAAAAACTTACTAGTGAAATAAATGTCTGACAATACTGATAGATACCAAAACAACAATTATGATGATGATACATTGAGCGTCCACCCATACTTTAGGCAGCATGAAATTAAACAAGAGAGAGAATTACCTGACGATGGATTATCATAAGGCAAGTATGCTTAAGAACGCACGAAACTGTATATTTGATAAAACCCCCCCTCTCTCTCCTTACAAACTTAAGCTGTTACAACCCGTAGTTACAACGAATGATTTCTCAAAGAGTATCCACCTCCAAGCCCCAGAGGTATGTGTATAACAGCAACGCTGTAACCGACACGATCAAAGTAATCTCAGGAATACAAGGGCTAACACCCTTAAAGGAAATCAGTACAAAACATCATCTCATTCTGACTCGTCGTCAGGACCACTTCATTCAGTAATCCTGACGTGTTCCTCGTCCATGGTGGTATATAAATGGCCTTCATTTATTAGCCATTGGACACCATCTCTATTGATATATGCATAATGTTAAAATTCAAGAAAGACAGTACGCATTTCGCGAGTAAATGTGATACAAACCTGACAGTATCACGGCCGTATGTAGACTGTAACCTGAGTACTAACTCATTTATCTCCATGCCATCATCGCTTTCGCCCAATCCATTCCGTGTGTTAGCCCACTGTCTAACTAGTCTCCGTATCTCTTTGTGTAAGGGTGAGACGAAGCCTTCGTCATTATTTAGAATCGGAACGTTATTGGAGTACATTCCATACGGCAGATAGGATAGTGAAGATGTTTCCGATTGACCAGAAAAGCTAGACGATGGAAGAGCTTGTTGCGGAGGAGGCTAATCGTGTGCAGTGTAAAAAGTTCGCGCCATGTGCAATTAGGGTTAAGTCATCTAGGAAAGATTAAACCAATATCTGTACAACTCACAAGAGAGCCACGTGTGATTGATAGATGGACACTTAAGACTTCGAGGTAATGGTGAGTTAACTCGTTATAGTCTGTAACGGGTCTTGTTTGGAATATCGAAACGTATCTTTCCGTCTCTGTAGCTTTTAGATTTCCAAAAATCTGGACGTAAGTGTTCACCATAATTCTTTCTTTAAAAGCAGATTCATCGTCTGCATGCCATTCCTTCGCCTTTATTGTGCCGGTGCCATCTCCCAAAATATACGTCGTGCAAGACGCATTTACGCCAACAGAACAAACATTCGCTATCAGTTTAATCTGTGCTTTGTGGAGAAGAAAAACAGGTCTCAACGAAGGCAGATTTAGACAGATCTCGATAATAAAGATGGTTTAATTCAAAGTCAGTTTTCAACCTGGGACACTTCTTCCTCGTCTATTAATAGGGTTTTGTCGTACTCTTCAGCTTTCATGATTTGACCAATAGTAACTGGTCTTAGTGATTGTTTTACGGACCGACTGGTTATCTGGAATATAAATTCTCTTTCGTGAATCTCGGAATGCAAGAGCATATTTGGTAAATAACAGTTAAGACATACCTGTCTTGAAGAAGGTGAATTCAACAGATTTGACGTACATTCTACATTGGAGAAACAAACACAATCGTTGAGTGTCTACGAGGTTTGTCGACGTCTTCGAAAGCTTGCTTACCTGACGACATTTTTATCTAGAAGTTGGAAAGCGTTTCTGATTATCAAAAATGGGTCTGGGAATAAATGGTGTCACAATTCGACTATTTATGCCAAGAATAATTCACACACACTAATATTTCAAATTGTTATTATTACTGTTTGGTCTGGGAAAAATGGCCTATAACTATGCCCAACAACACACCCAGTACCAAGCTCAGACTACTCCAGACTCTCTACTCGCTTCGTACTTTGCTGCAGTAGATGTGGATAGGTCTGGATCAATAACGACAAAGGAACTTAAGCAAGGTTTAAAGAATGGCGACTGGACGCCTTTCAATGACGATACCGTACAGCTACTGTTTAACCTATTTGATACGGATAGAAGTGGGTGCATTGGATATCATGAGTTTGCGGGGTTGTGGAGATATATTGAAGATTGGCGACGCGTGTTTATTCAAGTCGATCGCAATAAGAGTGGTGCTATAGAGATGAGTGAAGTAAGTAAGAAAGAATGTTTCTATGCACTTCGTATGTACATGCATGCATTACATTTTACCTATGATCAGGTGCGATGACTGATTTGGAAATTGTTTTGCTTATTAGTTGAAACAGGCCCTTGTTTCTTTCGGATTCAGCGTTAGTGATCCTCTTCTTTACAAAATTATCAAAAAATATGAGATAAGACACGGTTCCTCCGCTTCTCTTAAGCATCACCAGCCATACGGCCACGGACATAACGAAGTTGCGGTGAACTTTGATAACTTTGTACAGATGTGTGTGACTATAAGGACTCTGACTGATGCATTCAGAAAAGTTGATTCCGATCACGATGGGTGGATCCAAATCGGTTATGAAGGATTATTGAGTCTACTAGTGACGAATATGTGAATATCACGTACGATTTTGCTCTATTTGCTGGCTTGGGGGCGGGGTATGTTCAATATGATTTGATATGATTTTACGGTTGAAAATTTTCAATTTTCACTAATTAAAGTCATCATCCATAATGTAGAAAGACTGCCTATTAATGATTGAGTACATCTCTATTTTTAATTTATTAACACAATAAATTATACGGATTGCAATAACTGATAAATATTCTCGTTGGTCATTGAATGTCAAGTAAACACAATTGCAACCTGATCACGTTGATATCGAATTATCATATTCTCTTGTAATCAAACCCAGAACAAAATTACAGTCCTCGTTTATGTATTACAATACACATAAAGATATTGCTCTTCTCTTTCTCATTCCTGATATCCATGAAAATGCACGCCCGTTCATTTCATTTATATATATTTAAAATATAGGCCAAAGTATACAACAAAATGTATCGAAAATAGATTAGATAATGTGACAACGTGCACATCAACCGTGGTAAAGAATCCAATGCTTCTAATATGTATGAAAGTTACAACTGTTATTACTATTGTACTGATGATAATAATATTTTACTTTTCTATTTCATTGTAGGATTATAATTGGTTGTGCATCATTCGAATGGAAAGTTTGAGATTCTTATGCATTTTAAAAATATTGCAAGTCCTATAAAGTAATTACATGCATTGTCAGATTGTATGAAATTGATTGCTTTTATACTGACTGTAAAAACTTTACCTGTAAAGCTTTTATTTTCTCGGGTGCAATAGAATTCCACAGTGATGCTTTGGCATCTTCCGGTAATGGGCCAATTATAGCCTTTAGAACATTTGCAACACGGTTTGCTAAATCCACAGGAAGGATAGACGATGCAAGAACATCCACAAGCATGTTTATAATGCGAGGAATGTTGGCATGATTGGCCCCTAAGATGGCAGGATGTTGTCTATTGCGGCAATATAGAAAGAGAATTTATAAGTCGCAAGGCAAAGAAATGGGACGAACTCAAGAGTGACTAAAATCCCTGCTTACATCTCCAACAAGTCCAAGAGATATGAATAAGTAAGAGGTGCCTCTTCCTCATCATACAAAATTGGAAGAGCGGCAAACCAGGATGGCAAAACTGAATTGGCATCAAATTTGCTACTGTTAAACTTGAGAATTTTGGTTAGTGCTGAAACGGCGTTCTCGGTAGCATAAACATTATCGTCTTTTCGAGCATCCGGTTCGTTTATTATCTGAACCAATGGTGTAAGTGCAGCTAAAAAGGTCAACGTGCTTTAGAAAAAATCTCCAAATACAAACCCTCAACGCAAAAACATAAGAAATTCAGCATATCAATATATAGCGTTTACATACCAGCACAGACCTCTGCATAGTAATCACCACCAAAGTGTGCGCAAACACCAATACCATACGCTGCAGCTTGCCGAACATCGGAAGCTAAAATGGTTTCCAATGAGTAAATAAAATCAGAGGTGTCCAAGGCCAACAATATCATTACTAACCTGGATCCATGAGAGAAGCAAGCATTTTTCCCAGAAAATGACCTTGATACTTCCATGACTCTGGTCCAGTAAATTCGACTAAATCATCAAATACACATAAAGCCCATTGACGTGCGGCAGAATTGGTATCGGATAAAAAGGTTGTGATTATTGGAAGTAGATGATCAAAAGATTGTAAATAAGCAATCTTGTGCGTCTTTAATATAATATGTATTGCTTTTGAGAGTTCTCCAAGAACGCTCTCTTCAGTCTGTTGTTCCTCTAAAATCAGATCCTCATCCTCTGCATCGAATTCCTTGTTGAGTTTAGCCTGTTCACGTTGTTTCAACCTCTGATAGAAATCTTGTAATTGAGACTCAGTTGCCCTTGTGAATGCATCCAATTCTTCAGCATTCAAACTATTATCGCCTACAGTTTCGAGCGACTCGTGAAATGTGATATATAACTGCCATAAAAACATTGGATCCGATTCGCCCGCTATGGCTTCAATCACTTTCTGGGAAACAGTATGCCATAAAGACACTAAATACTCTGGATTTTCGTCGGCCTTCTTAACCGAGGCAAGAAGATACGGAATGACTGCGGCAGCAGCATTTCTTACTTCATCATGGAAAAAGAACTTCAACAGAGGTAAAACTATTTCCATTACGCTTTCCACATATGGTCGGAATGCTGCACCTAATTCTCGAGCGTAACAGATCAACATTTCAACTGCAGTACACTTTTCTTCCAACACTGTTGTTTTGATTCCTATTTGCTAAATCATCAAAAATGCCAAATTAATAAATGTCGAGTGTAATACTTCTCATCGATATTATCATCTACCTGGCCTTCAACTCCTACAAGTTCCCAGCCGTCCTCGGCTGAATACTTGGACTCTACATCCTCCTCGGCTATAGAGACATACATCGTTATACGTTAGAGTCTGTTCATCGGTAAGTATTATGCAAATTGAGTCATATATATATGTTAAATACGTACGATCCACAACTGCAAACTCGGGCTTCAGCTGGGCAGATGCTAGAAGCGGTGGCATTACTATTTGGAGATAAGGTACAAAATCTTCTCCTAATACCTTGCAGATTCTGGCCCATGATGCAATGAGATACGAGGTCTGAGGGTCATCTGACTCGGTAACACTCTCTGCAATGAAGAGAAAAATTCGGAATAAGTAATATTGAATGTGGTGAAATTAGGATTGATAATGATGGGTGAATTTCATCATGCTTACGCTGGGTCTGCACCAATAATTCAATAAATTCCTTTGCAGTTGGAGCAAATATTTCCTTGCCAACAGCCAAGGCTTAAAGCGAACAAACAATAATGTCAGTAAACTGGTTACAAGTCATATTCACAAATTGCCAATTGCCAGCATAAATAATTATTTTACATACCAATTAAACTAGCACATTCCATTGCTTTTCCACGTAATAGTCTAAATTCCTTCTGATGTGCATTCTTTAGAACACTTAGCAGTAAAGGCATTATGGCGTCGTAATACTGCATACAAGAGAAAAGTTAATATTTAACAAAGAAAAAAAAACCACTACCTCAACAATTGATTTTAATAATACCTTCACAAACCGATCCTCCGCGCTGTCAGCTACTGTAGCTATTGTCGTGATGGCTTGTTCCTGGACATATGTCTTTCCAGATTTCAGCAAAATCAAAAGCTTATCGAATATAACATCCAAATATTGCTCAAGAATTGACTTATCAGCGGCTTCACAAAAGTTAACCAAGGCTGCTGCTGCATGAGCTTGAACCCTGAGTTGACAATTACTCTGTTCATGAGTGGAAAACAGAATACTAAACCATTTGACTTTTAACCGATTGACTGAAATGTTACCTAGATTCTGGTGCGTCCATGACAGGAATCAGGTTGGTCAAAACTGGATTATGATATTTCTTTTGGAGACTGTCTTGAAAGTCGGTCGACATTTGACCTATTGCATTACAAGCAGCATATCGTACTCGCGGGTGCGGGTCCTGTAGATAAGGTAATACCAAACTGAACGCATAATGGATCTTGTGAATATTCTCGAATGCATATATCTATGACATTCAACAAGATACTCACTCTATAATTTTACCAAGTTCGGCTTCCATTATTTTAACACATCCCTCACCGATAGCAGAAATTGCCATCAACGCAGCATGTCTTTGCTCCCATTTTTCTGATCCCAGCATATTGGGAATATACTGGAAAGCAATAGGAAGTACAGCCTTCCCACCTATTTTGAAAACTCTATTAATTTCATACATAGTAAAGAAAAGCAATCGTGTTTATCATCTTACCTAGATTTCTCGCCAAACGGTCCATAGCATGTTCGCCTATTACACAATTCTCATCGCTCTCATCTTCTTCAAGCTACAAACCCAAGAAGAAAATATGCTAAGCGCCAGATAATGAAAATAAGTAATACGAGTTCAATTTCGATATACATACGTCATCTGTTGTATACCACTCTTCGGCATTATCCAACTCGGTCATCATCTCCAAGCAAATAGGAATGACTTGACTACAAAAGTCCGCTGCCTTACGCATCATTGAGGGAGACGATTCGGATAATGTAAGTAAGAGCTCTAGGGCGGTCTGACGAGTTCCGTCTTCCAGCGTTTTGTCTTTCATGACATTTAGGCAGAATTGCAATACAACATGTAAGGCCGGTTTAAACACCCTTGGTAGATTCTCGGCCAATTCTATAAACACCATGAGCCCGTCGACCAACCCATCCTCATCGCGCTCTTGTAAAAGGGGGGACAACACCTAATGACATAAGACGTAGAAAATTGGATGATATAGCCAATAAATGTTCCTAACTTTCGATAATAGTAGGTCACACGTACCTCAAGCATTTGTGGCATTAATTCAGCAAAAGAATTACGGCTGGGTTGATCTGCTTCCAACACGAAGGCTACGGCAGCTTTAAGACAAACCATACGCACCTAATCGGATATCAACTCATTAGAATTATTATTAGAGCTACAGAGGCTGCTTATAAAAAGTCTACTCACCGCACCATCAGGGTATTGTAAATTGACCACAAAGATTTGTTTTAATATATCCAAAGACTGATCAGTCAGTAAATTAGGAACTGCTGAGAATATACGAAAAGCAGCTTCGCGATGTTCAGCCGAAGGAGATTTGCTCGCCTCAAAAAGAGCAGGAAGAAGTTCAATCCATTCCTCTAAATTTTTACAAAACAATAATGTAAATTTAGATTTAGGTAATGCAATGGTGGCATGGCAAAAAACAAAGGAAAAAAAATTTTTTTATTGCTTACGCCCTCTTAAGAAGGAATTCTTTGCCACCTCAGAAACGGCATCGCAAACCTTATGCCGCACCGTTTGCTCCCGCTCCACCGACAAAGCTAATATTAGTTGGGATTCGATAGCTTTCCTACTTTGCTCTTGAAGAGCATCCCAGACTGTGGTTTCTTCTGCTTTCTGGATTTGATTCGGAGCTTGTTTGAACGCGATTCGACGCAACAAAACAAAAGAAAACGAGCGCCCCTAATTCAATTGTAACAGTGTTATTAAACATGTTGGATTCAGTATTAAAGCCATGAAGACATGGATTTATCTAAATGCTGATTATGACACGCACATGAGTATTCTGGTGAGAGCATCCGAGCTGTGCAAGTGATAACAATAGCAAGTCGGGTTGTGATGAAATCCAGTGGTCGTTTAACTCCCGTTCAGCTTGTGAGCGCAAATTATTGTCGTTAGAAGCCAAGTTCGAAAGAACGTTCTGAAGTTGTGTAATAACGTCGGGCGCAACAAGTGAAGGTCCAGGCGCAGCCATAATATTCACAAGCTATGTAAAATTCGCGTGATCGGGAAGCTCGTATGGTGGTTCGGCTTATGTGTAAAGATACGGCCGACTGTCAAGGAAGCGGAGCAAAGAACCTTTGTATTAATAAGTAGTAGAACGGAGGTAAGTGAAAATGATTCGCGAACGGTAAGGTCTCGTACTTCAAACACTTGGTATTTTTTTTTCTGCAGAGTACGTCTCACTTAGTGAAAACTTGCCGCGGTAACATTTACCTTTGTTACATAATGATCGAAATTATCGAGGATGTATGTAGGACAATCACGTTACATATTGTAGCATTGTCATACTAATATGCCGCGCAATGAGTATATCGATCCAGACGCAAATATTCAGGAATCACACGTCGATCAGGAAAATATGGTCTATTAGTTGTGGATGTTCTCGATCTTGTCTAGTATGTTGCTGCAGTTAATAATAATAATGTATGGGAAAGTAGAAAAGCTATGGCGAAACTTTTTAAGTTTTGAGAAAGCGTGTATATGCATGCCCTCCTGAACGCTTTTTATAACAGTTCTAAATAGATAACAATCACAAATCAAAAGAATGGTTATAAACATGCATATCTGATGTTATCTCCCGCGCCAATAGAAATCTCCGACGTTGATATATCATGTTTGGAATGTCCGGAAAGAGGCGCAATAGTTATTTCGGACAGACTGCAAAGTGAACGCTTTACCACATGAATACAAAGTGGCTGTAAATTGACCAATGTGATAGAATATTAATATAGATCTAACAAAATAAGTCTAAAGGATCATGCAAACAATTCAGAAAATCTGCGTAATTTTCTTAGATAAATTTGCTGAAAATTCTGGTCATGAAAAAATCGCAAAAACTATCCGTTTATCCTACATTCTTGTTACATTCCAGTAACTTCCGGTTCAAGTTTTAGTTCGAAGCCTGCCATAGTATTGAAGCTTCTGATACGTAACGAGCATCAGAAGCAGTTGGCTTACCGCATGGTACCCGTTTTTTAGCTTTTCAATGGAATCAGCATCCTTCATACCTAATACGTACGTACAAGCTCAAGCTTTTCCGGATAATTATATGGATGTTGTGTCTGAGTGTTCGGGACCTATCTCAGTTCCAAACCCAGTCACTCGGTCCAGAACCTCTAATTTGGATAAAATTCCCAGTCAAAATCTCTAATTTTATATCTGGTTTTACAAGGATGTTTATCCTGAATTATACAAACAGCAGGTAGAGTAGCAGACGAAGACGTAATTTTAATTGACAATGCAATTAGTAGCTGACTAGTAGAGGGTAAATTTTAAAGGAAAGATTGATCACTAATCTCAATTTGCTCAATCTTACCCAACCCTACCCTACATACACAGTATATCCCATTAAAACTGTTGTCATTCTTTAACTTTTTGTTGGCTAGTTCATTGAATTATCCTGTGATAAGCAAATCACAAACACAACAGTATTAGAATATCTTCAAAGACATCTTGCCACTGAATTTAACATTATTGTCATTAGTGCTCAGGAATAGCACAACCAATGTTGAAAAGAACCACAACAACGCCAATAATGATTTTCAACTCGGTTCTATCCAAAGACAACTACACCACTGAAGAGTACGAATAAGATAAGCGACAATTGATCAATACAAAAAGGGAGGAACTGTCTATTGAGAAGTATGGGAATTAAAGAGCCCATACTGGCACTTGGGACATGGTAGGTTTAGTGAAAGAGAACGCGAGTAAGCTAAGAGTATAGATAACGTGGATTAGATGCATACTTCCGACACCAGTGCAGAACAAATTTTAGTATATGTTCTTTTTAGTGTACCGCGTAATCCTAACTTAATACTCCTACGTATCACACCCTTATATCCCCCAAAAAAGCTATTTGATACAGCAACCTTCTCTCTATCTCTACTTCCCATTATCATTCAAATATTATTCAACATTATGATTGTCATAATACTTTTCCTCTCCTTTGTTTTCTTCAATATCCAGCAGCCCCTGGTGCCTTCTCGTCACTCTTTAGACTTAGCAACAACTCCTTAAACCTTGTAACATCCTTTTGGTTTATCAATGGGGTTTTGCTCTGCACACTGGTCAGCCCAAGAATTTTACATACTCGCTCCCATGTAGTAGTAGTGCCGGACGCAAGTCTTTCGCGTTCTGCTAGGAATTCCGCTTCATCGACTCTAAATAAGCGATAGGCCAGCTTGTTAAAGAATGCAATTGTAAAGAGCGAAAACTCGCAAAAAATCGCGTTTAATAGTTAATTACTCGTTCTGTTTTAGTATGTTGATTTTTTTGGCATTGTAATCTTCATGGAATCGATCTATGTCAGCATGTACTTGCTCGATTGTCTTCTCATGCTTTTCCCTATTACGCTCTTCGCATTCATCGATTGTTTGCTGAGCACGCTCTCGCCATTCACTATGAATGTCAAAACGATTAGAACAATGAAATAAAACTTGCAAAATTGTACGTCGCCCTTTTAAATAAGATGGGTAAACTAACTTTAAAACCTCGGTCGCTTCTTCCAATTCCTCTTCTTGTTGTTGTTGCTGGTAGAAAGAAGTAGTTCCGAATACGTAGACTGTAAACAATATATGTGATCTCAGCTAAATCACCCACGCAGAAAATATACATGATGTATATTGTTGATGCAGTTTTGACAATCGCACTGCTCAACCGTTCAAATCTTTCGCCTCATAACCGTAATGTCACTTATTGCAGAAACTGGTGGAAACTCAATACCAAGCCCCAATCCAATACCAATGCTTGGCGTCACATTCAATTTTGTTGGGTCAACATCTCCAGTACTAAGATCAGGGAATCATTTGCAGACCCATTGATTCCACGGCATCATGCCGACCCTGACGTTCGTACATATACACCCTTCAAATGGTACTCTCCCACTAAAGGCGTAGGTAAAATTGGCCAATACGACATTGGACGAACTATTAGCATATGGATAATCTTCTTTCTATAAAGGACAAGCTGGCTGTCTCTAGTTCGAAGAACAGGCCTTGCGACTTGATAAGGCAATCTTTCGGATACGACAAAAATCAAACACTTGCAAAGCGAACTTCATAAAAAGAGAGTCGCATTTTTCACTCGCGAATTCAATGCCATTATCATCCCTCCTTTTGAGGTGTCGAACATGGTAAATCGAAAAACAAGAAAGATAATAATAACACGAAAAACCGTTCGCAAAATGCTCTGCTGGGGCCACTATCAATTTCGCCAACACCACTTGCAGCTGGTGTGGGAGCGTTCAAAAAAAGGGGGACTTGTGATGCATTATGGTAAAGCTTATCGATCAACACCTAAACTTAATATTCATGACATTTATTTACATACACAGTGAACATAACGAATTTGGCTTATAACGAAGCTTGCTGCACGGAAATTGTAATAGTAGAAGTTAATTATAAATCCCTCGATATTGGATATACCCGAGAAGTTTGTACAACAATCCGTTATGTATTGTCTTGTACTACAAATCTTCATGCTAATGCTTCTTGTACAACCTTTATTATATACAAGTCAAGTATCAAAGTTGAATTGCGGTTGTATTTTCTATCTAATTCTGAATGGTTGTCGAGTGCTCAATTCACGAAAAACTGAAATTGAGATCGTTTAAGCTCATTCAGCAATTGCCGATAGACGATCCAATAAGCGTAGAAAACTATATAATATTGACAAAGCACTATCAACAAAGTTGACGGTCGAGAGGAACTGGTAGCGTTTTGGCGTACAGTATATTGCAGAAAAATCTTGGAGTAGAATTGTCTGTTGTTAGATTTGGCTAAATTGAGAAGAACAACAGCGCTTGATGAATTTGTAAATCTTGAATTACATAACTTCTTTATTATTATATATCAATAATTAGATATGTTGTATATACATGTGAAACCCGGATATAACGATCCCTCGATATAACGAAGAAAAGTGTCCGCGCCGTCTCCTTCGTTATATCCGGGTTCACTGGTTACTAAACTTATAAGAAACACCAATGTTTATACAGGACTGATGTACCGGTATTATAAGATATATTACCGAGCGATGACAAATTCATTTTCGCTCGCCTATAGTAACAAATGAAACTGTCAGAAAAGGATTCACGAATCCATAAAGACATAAGTTATAAAGCAAGAGTCAGCGATCAACTTACTTACGTCACAAGACATTAGTGAAAAATTTCCTCCGAGTTAAGTTCGATAGCCCTGAAGGGATCGTTAACAATAAATTCACTCTTTCTCTTACGAGTCGGTAAGTCGCCAAATATTTCTGGAGCGTGGAGCTCTATCGTTCGAAACGGATCATTAGGAATGAGGTCGCAACTATGACGACGTTTTATTTCAGGTTTTACGTCAAATATTTTCTCGGCGTTAAGTTCGATTTGGCGGAAAGGATCGTTAGGTATCAGGTCGCTCTGTCGACGACGCGGTGTTGTAGCTAAATTTGTGGTTTCAACTGAGTTATAGGTCTGAGGGTAATAGCAGATAACAATACGGGATACTTACGAACATCTGCGTCAAAGATGCTCAAAGCATTCTTCTCAATAGTACGGAATGGATCGTTGGCAATGAGATCTGAATTTGACCTCTTGTGGTTACGAAATTTAGGTAGCATTTTATTACAGTTTTGTGTATGCTGCCACACCTCGATTCCACTTCCTTTTTATAACTACGCACACATTTTCTGGAACTTCCCACGATATTGTGGAGTGATTATGCGCCATGTCTCCTGTTTCGATCACCAGACCCCAATTAGTCAATTAAGGAAATAGAAATTTAGCTGTTTCTATTCATACAATAATGACTATATTGCGCCAACCAAGGGTCAGGGTATAGTCATCTGTGTTTATTCCGCAGTCAAAGGGTCATATCTATCGTCTCGTTGTAGAACAGTTGCATTTTAGATTTATATTATTAATTTAAATATGTCGTTCATATTAATATAGGCAGTATCGTTAATGCTTACTTAAGCTTGGCTTGTTGTCTATGTTTGATCTCCGTTCTCACGATCAATTGCACGAAATTGAATCTCCGTATTAAGATAGAAATTGCCAAAACGAATTACTGCTTATTTATTCCCATACTCTTGAGATCTGATTACACTTAAGATTGGATACTTCGCAGGGCCCATGGTTAACATAGGATGCCCTGATGCGAATTCGTGATTTGATTTGTTGATTTTTTGTGGTCTGATTTTATTGTATGGCCTGATTTTACTGCACGTCATATCATGTGAACTATTGTGTAATACAGCGATATATACAGTATGGAAGAAAAACTTGCCCTCCATAATTTCGTAATAACTCAGCAACCATCAATGCTTATTTAAAGACCACGGAAACTCAATGCTTATTTAAATATGTGAAACGACAATCATTTCACCGACAAATATTTACCAACATTATTTCGAATTTATCCTTTTTTAGTAGTTAATTGTCGGTGAAATGTACTGTCGGTGATAATACGGACCCCTGGAATATAATCCCATTTCTCGACCGAAGATTTTTTGGTTGCCGTTTTCTCTACATTCCTCTTAACAATACTCTATAGGATTGAGGTCTGGACTATTGAATGGCCAGTGAATGACCTCAGGCATGTTAGTCTTTTTAGGCCGGCCTCTTCCTTTCTTACATGAAATGCTGTTAGTTTCCAATGTAAAATTTAATAGTCCGGAATGGGATATGAATTTCTTTGGGAGATTGTACTCGCTCATTTTATTTTATAATAACAAATAGACACGTCAGTTATAAATTTGTATCTTTTAAATGCTCTACTTTTGCTGTATTTTTTATTATGGTTGCAAAATACTAAAAATTGCAAACTAAAACCTAAGCTTGAAAGGTTGGCCAACTATTATTAGCGACACTTTTCTCAATTCTTCGAGGCATACTGTCAATCAAATTCAACCATTTTTACGTTCAAACAATTTAAGCTGACCATATCTTCTTTGTTTATGGGCATTTTGAATTTCAAATGCACGACTGTCTACTGTGGGATTAATTCAGTAGTCTGTCCGTGTGGGTATGAATTTATGTCAATTCCGAATGAACATACGTCAGTTCGGAATAATACAGAGAATCAGTAACAATAATATACATACTTCGACATTAATAATATTACCTTGGCTGCTATATAACTAATTTTATATGGCTTTTAATCAATAGAATGAGATCATTAACTAGCTATTCTATGAAAGAAATTACTCGAATTTTATGAATCCCCATATAACAAAATAGCACACTGACATGTAAGTTTACACATAAACGGCTTAGTTTGAGATCGACAAAAAATATATGTAATACTGATGCAAAATTTAGGCGGGGGCGGTGCAGTTGACAAACAGCATAATAAACTTGATGTATATACAAAGTCACTACATAAATTAGTTGGATCGTAGCTATGAATTGGCAACTACAGTTTTTATTTATGATCGTTAAATGATATATTGCATTTTTTTTATTATTCCGGCCCATGATCCACACCTTGGTTAAAAATTACGAGTTAATATTTATTGAGATTAAAATAGCATATTACTAATTTATATTTTTATAATATAGAACTTTATTGCCTAACTAGCATATTACTAATTTATCTTCCATTTAATATGTCAAAGATGGTTTGTACTACTATGTCGTACAGCCGAATATGATTTTTCGTCTCTCGAGCTTCAACCATTGAATCCACATATTGTTTTTTATTCAATTCCTGAAAAACAACAGGTGGATAACCATTATGAATGCCATAATCGAACGACCGGTCCATTACCATCATAGAATGGATGAATAAGAGTGAAGGTTTTCAAGTAATCGACATGCGATCAAAAGAGGGTGAATGTTGCCATTCTTAATGCTGTCATCGCGAAATCGTAAGAACCTTTTCATTAATGCAGGCACTTCTGGTCCATACTATCGAAAACAAAAAGTAAGTCATAATCTAATCTTGATAAGCAAGGAATTATAAAAATAAACGGTCAAATGGTAACCTCGTGATTGCATTGATACCGTTCGAAACTTTCCTGCTTCTTGGATACCACCCCATGCATCAATTTTCTCACAAGGAGTATCTTTTAACAAAATGTAATGAATTCTTTTAATCTCATCAATGCTTACTTCCCGCTCTAAATCAAGCAACATATTATGTAAATGGTTACGGATTTCAGTGACCTCATCTTCAGATTTATCGGAAGAGATCTTGCATCAGGTAGCTGTATTTCTTCGGGTTCCAAGAGTTCATCAAGATTATAGTCTTCATTCATTTTGCTCCAAATTTTTTCCGTATCTCCAATTCCTAACGAGTTTCCCTCCATGGCGCAACTTTGATGCGAAAAACTCACACTCATACGTCTCATAAGGTCCGAAGATGAGATTTGTTATCATATTTAAGAGAATCAATTGTTGGTAGGAAAAAACCATCTTTTGCTTGATAGTCTGTTGAGAAAGAAATCAAATAAGAATCCAGGTGAGAAGATTGCAAAGAATCCACGGTCCATACCATAATCTTGCGCACGCCATTCAAATGGATGAAAGTAGTTCTCCCAAACCTCCCTGAAGCACCAAGTTCATACCATTCCTTCGAACCTTCCTTAAGTTTTGAAAAAGAAGGAGTGTAAATCTACGAGTAAAGTAAGTTAGTAATATTCAAAAAAAAATTTCATAAAGTAAAGTAAAAAAGAGAACTTCATTCAGCAGAGCTTTTCTCTCCCTTCGTTGAGCATCTGAAAAAAGCTGAAAGGAAATGGCGACTGTAGGAAAAGGTGGAACTACGTAACATTTTTTTAAAAAAACCGTACAGCGTACAGTCGCGTTTAGTATAGATGTAAAAATAGATCGTTGTGTCATCCGAGCAAACATTTCTTATTGCTTCACAAAAAATGATAATGATCGCAATTAAGTGATACGCATGCAGATCTCGAAATAAATACACAAAAAATGAATCTATATTAATATGAAATGCTTTGCAACTAAGCCTATGCTACAATTGCGACCTTGAGTTTATTGCTTGAACTGTTGCAGGTAAGACGATATTCCGTTTTCTTTCTATACCATTCGCCATATAATCCATAATTCCATCACAAATAGGGCATGAGGAGTCCCACGGCTGAGCAAATGCAAAATTGTAATTATCAATCCCTCTAGAACTATTTCGGAATTTCAAGTATGTGAAATGCTCTAAGACTGATTTGATAATTAATTCTGGATAAGGTTTGGCTTTGAAAGTGATAGGCTTGAAATCAGTTTAGCTGACATATTTATTACAGCTTCTGATAATTGCCATGGCTCATGTCAAGTTTCTTTTATATATTTTTTTGTATAAGTTGGAACGAATCTTATCTGTCAAAATGCTTGGCAAACCAGTTAATTTGGCACACCAATCCAGATATTTGGGGTTTAATATTTTATAAGACTTGGTCTGAATATCAAAACTTTTGGATGCTAGACAAACAAACTCCTTAATTTTTGTCCCCTTTTAGGAAATTCCATTATCTTGACAAATACACTCTCTGGACAAAAGTTTGACCCCAAAATTATTTTGCAATTATTTTTTTTACAAAATTCTACTAAATAAATAGTTGCGATTTATATATTATTTGAAAGCTCTAGTTCTCAAGAATGTTTGTCATTAGCATTATATTTATATTTTGTGAAATTTTTATTATGGTAAAACTAAAAACAAATTTGTCATTAACTTTATAAAATTGATGACTGATTTCAGCAGATAAATTTTTATTATTTACTATTTTAATATCTAGTTGGCCAATTATTGTTGGCAATACACGTGACTCGAAGGATTTAACTTTCTTCGAACGGAGCGTAGCGTCTCCTACTATAAGTTTAACCAGACTGACAGTTAGTAACCTTTC